TATACATATTTATATATAATATTATTAGTATGAATATTGTTTACGTAACATACGTATAACTAATTATATAACGCTATGGAGGATATTCTTTTATAATTATACTATTAATTATAATGTTATTCAGAGTTATATAATACATTGTATCGGCTGTCACTTAATACATTGTTAGATATTTCAGATAGTTGAAATACATTCCATTCATTTTCAATATTATTCCTTTTTTTTCTTATATTATTTATTCCATTACTAAACATTGACCTATAGGGTGTAAACTAATTTTTTATATAATAAATTCTTGTATTAGAATATAATTTTTTATTAATTTTTTTTTTATTACTTGTAGAAAAATATATATTAAATATATATACAAATAAAATCTCCAATAACCTTATACATAATAAAAGCAATGAAGGATATAGTAAATACTAAAAGAATTGTAATTATTATAGGAAATGCAATATTATTAGGACAATACGACACTATTTGGGATGTACTGTTTTCTTTAATTTCAGTGAATATTTGTGTTTTATATTTTTTTGGAATATCTAATACTGCTTTACAAAATACCCCGTCTCTATTAGTTCCATCCATAAATTCTATATTATTATAACATTTATACACACTATATATGTTATTGAGCTCCTCGAGCTCTACATTGATAAAAGTTCCATTATTATTATGATTTAAATCAGGGAGTTGGTGTTTATATATGTCCAGTAATAACTTATAAAAATCATTAATTACATTTCGTATTTTTTTGTAATCTGACCTTTCATAATATACCCAATAAAAGAAGTATTTAAAGTAAGCTTCTTTAAATAAATTGTTATGCGTTGAATATAGGACATCTGAAAAATATGGAATAGCTTTTTTACATATTTCGTCAACCTTGGCATGTTCCATATTATGACTTCCATTAAATGCTATACATTTAGAATATTCAGACAAAGAATTCATATATGAACGCGCACTTATACCTCTAATTCTATTCTCCATTTCTGGAAATTTTTCTACAAATTCATACTATAAATGTAATAATAGTATGATAGTAATAATATAAACTTTATGCAAAATTTATATCATTTAATAAATTATAATGTAAAATATATTATTATGTTGTAATATATGTTATACTAATTTCAACTTACCATTGTTTCCCCCATATTAGTTAGCCTATATTATATTTTAGGTAAATAAATAAATAATTCCAATATAATTTTTTAATTATAAGAATATATAGAATGAAAACATATTAAGATTACTTTCATAATAATTATGGAACTTATGTACATGTGTCTTCAGATAATATGAGAATTCTATTTAATACACCGTAAAATATAATAGAAATCATTTATAACATATTTATATTAACATTAATATTTTACCACTACAATAAAGCTATTAATACTTTATTGAGATTAAAAAAATTCAATTGTATAAATATAATATTATTTGTACACTACTATATTAAATTTATAAAACATATATTTTAAGTAAAAATAATTGTCTGTATCATAAATGAGACCTTATTACGAATATACATTTAATAATTTTAATATTTTCTTTATTAAAGATTATATAATAATGTTTTTAATTGAGTATATAAAGAATTAAATATCAGATTAAAGAGTATATTGGCACTTGAACACAGTAAGTTAGTAATTCTTAAAAAATAAAAGAATGAACCTTATTAAAATTAGTTAGAATAAATTATGTGAATTACATATAAATATTATAAATCTGATGTAAGCTCATTTTTATATTTTATAAATGGAAATATTATTATTAATTAAAATAAAATATATTATTATAGAACATGATCACGTTTTCATATTTATCTTACGTATTATTCACATAAACATTGTTTTTTAAAATTTTATTTCTGATGCTGTTCGTAATTTTGTTTGTGCACATGAAAATATAATAAAAAAATTATAATTATTTATTATATATGTTATTATTGTAAAAAAGTTATTTGTATAATCTTTTATTACTTATTCCTCTAATAAAATGACTATTAAAATAATGAGAAGAGCATATAATATAAATAAAAATTCTTGAAACTTAAGAGAGAGTCTATTAATTTTTCCATTAATGATTATTAAAGAATAAATAATATTCATCACCATTTTATGTATTTTAACCCCTATTTTAATTAAAATTATAAAATTTAAAATTTTTGCCTAATAATTATTATAACCCAAATGTCTCTAAGTGTGAAATAAATATATATTCATAATATATTCTATCTTATAGTTAAATATGTATTATTATAAGAAATGCATTATATATTATTCTTCTTATAATATAACTAAACATAATATTATAATGAATAATTAATAATTTGTTTGAATTATTCATATAAATACAAAAATTATAAACTAGGTATATATCATATATATAGGTAAGAAAAAAATTAATGCACAACATATTAGTTAAAAATATACTTTTATGTTACTAGAATAGATTTTTTAGAATAATTAATTATAGAGTATTATAATGAACATAATATAATAAATAAGTACTGAACTGTTTAGATATTAACTATCTTCACAATTAAAAAAAATATATATTTTATAATAATCATAAAATATATATAAAACTAAATATCTATTATTATATCAATTATATTATTTATTATGGAAATCATTAAGCGTTGATATCTCAACGCAACAATAATTCATAATAATAAAATTAACGAGTAAACATATTATGAATACTTTTTATATTTATTATAACTCTTATTATTTGAACTGTCGAATCACAAACAAGATAAATAATAAATATAAATTGAAATATTAAAAAATTCATTTTAACAAGTAATAATATATAATATAATATTTTTCTTTTTCATAAAAAAGAATTAGTAAAAGAGTTATTACATATTTACATAACTATTATACTGTATTTTATATATCTGGAGAATTAATACTGTAAATATTGTAATAGAAATAAGGAATGTAGAAAAACTTATGAATACTTATAATCATATTAAAAAAAAAAGAAATATATATAAGTGAATATTATGATCAAAATTTTTAATGGTTTTTACATATATTTTACATTATTTATAATGTATATAATCTATTTTTCAATATAACTATTAATGGGTTACTAGATTCACTCAATTTAATTACTAGTTATATTAGGGATTTCTTAAAAATAGGAAAAATAATTATAGCTTATTTTGCAAAAAATTAATGAAACTTTTTGTAATATGAATGAGAGGTAGGTATATTTCCATTACATAAAAATTGTTCATAAATTGTCTGATAAAAATATATGATCACTTAATTGTTGATAGTCAAAACTTATATAAGTTCATGGAAAAAAACAATATTACATGTTTGGAGATCAGGATTCATGTTACTTGAGTCAGTGCATTGATCATAGTGGTTTATATTTTAATATTTTTTACATTTT